ACCAAAAAGTACTGGATTTTAATTTTTAAGACTGTGCTCACTTTAATAAATGCACTCTTAGGGAGTAGGGAGTTTCAACATGTTAAATATTAATAAACAGACACAGAATTAAAGATCTGCTTTCAAAATTAAAAGCCAAAATGGTCAAGTTAAAATAAAATAACCTGACACTTTCACCCGTCCTGAAATCAAGCTACATGATTGCATTAATTTTAAGTACATTCACTCCTCATTTTTAACATCTGTGAAGCCAAGAGTACATCTAAGTTTCCCTAACCAGTAGTAATTGTGATCAAGCTGTCACTGAGTGCCACCTTCTGGTAGGATCAAGGAAGTGCCAGCATCCTAGCTGGAGGAAAGGCATCAGAGCTGCTCATGGGAGCCCTCTTAGGAACGCCTCACCCAATTCCTTTCACTGGCTTTCCTCCCTATGTACACATAAGGATAAACAACAAAAGTCTATGCTTGAATGTCTAAGCAGCTCTTCTAAATGAGTAAGACAGGACCAGAAGCACGCAAGCTCACATTCCACCAGCGCATCCACCCATGTTGTCTGCCTCTCCCAAGGCACACAGCTTGGCTACTCTTGAGCAAACACACACAAGTGCAGTTAATGCCCCAGGAGTAGCCCTCACCTATGGGAGCTAGGATTGGAGGACCCAGAATCCAGGTTCCCATCTGGCAGCTGTGTGTTTTCCAGAGGTCTCCATGTGATCACCTTTCCTCCCCCTCCAGCTCTGTCCACAGCCTCTCCATCAGCCCTCCTCCCTCAGCTGTCTCTCCAGTGGCCTGGAGACTCCTCTAAGCACTACCCAAGCCCTGGCTCAGGCCCTCCCTTTGCAAAGATCCAAGATGACTATGTGGTCCTTTAGTTATGGCATGTTCTTACAGGAACTGAGCACTGCCTTCTTACCCAAATTACAATTGCCATTTTGATGTGATTCACAAGCCACCATACTTTCAAATTAAATCTTTAGCATCATTTTTAAAACTGAGGAAGCTAACATGGAGTGCCTTATATCCTGCACCATTTTGTGATTGGTATCTAGCATTCCTTAATCAATACTGACATAATTAAGAGTCCATCTGGACTCAGGGTTCATTTTTTAACCTAGTATTTTTTCTGTCCTAGGAGCATATGCAGCACCCCTCATTTCATCTAGTAACATTTCTTGAATGTGACAGCGCCTCAGACTCTTCTGGTACTTGACAACCCTGACAATTTGAGTTCTGGTCAGCTATTTTGTAGACCGTTCCTCCACTGGGATATGTTTTTTTTCTCCCCCTTAATTATGAGATTTTGGAAGACCAGAGGTAAAGTGCCCCTTTTCATCTCATATCATGGGCCACACTGTCAACATTGCCTGTCGTGGTTGTGACCTTTATCCCCTTTTCTATATGACACTTCAGAAAGAAGTCACTATGTGCAACCCACCCTTTAAGAGTAGAATGCCAAAGGGCTAAGAATCTACATTAAGCTGGGCATGGTGGTACGGGCCTTTAATCCCAGCACCTGGGAAGTATAGGCAGCCAGATCTCTGCAAGATCAAGGCCTGCCTTGTCTACATAGTGAGATCCAGTTCAGCTGGGGCTACAGGGAGACCCTGTCTCAAGAAAGAAAAAAAAAGAAAAAAAAGCATCTATATTAAGTTACTTGGGATTATGTGTGGGAGGTGGCCTCTTCCTCCTTACTACTTAAAAAAAAATCAGCATGGCTCATGGGTAGACACATCATACTTTAGGTTATAAGCTTCTACTTACTGTGTTGCTCCAATTGTTTGAACTTTACCACTGGGAGCTCTGCCAATGGACGTACTCCCATCCCATCAGTGTGCTTTCATTTTCTTTGTTGTTTAGCATTTCTTTACTTTCTGAAATGACAAGATCCTCCAGGCTCATGTGCATTTCTTGCTGTGGAATTAGACAAACTTAAAGCCTAAAATCCAATATTCGGGGCTGGAGAGATGGTTCAGTGGTTAAGAACACTCACTGTTCTTGCAGAGGACCTGGGTTCAGTCCCTCAACACCCACTTGGCAGCTTACAACCACCTGTAAGTCCAGTTAGAGGATCTGATGACTTCTGCCCTCCTCGGGCTTCTGCATACACACAGTGCACGTAAACTCATACAGGCAAACACACATACACATAAATAATAAATCTTTTCATCTCTAATGCGACAAAAGAAACTGAAAAACAGTGGGAAATACCATAGGCATGTCTCCCAGAATCAGCTAAGCCTTAGACACTGGCAGGTTAGGTTCCAAATCACAATCCCAATTTTAGGATAAAGATGCTGCTCTTTCTCTAAATCAAGTTCAGACAGATGCTGAACAGCTGCCTGGATGCCAGAGCTGTGCAAGCAGACAGCGCTCATTAGCCAAGACCATAGGTACTACAGAACTTTTGCTGTGCTCCATGATTATATCAGTCCACAAGGGCCTTATCTGGCATGCAGGCATGGTTTCAGGGCAGTGTGCACATTTGGATCAAAGTGGTATAGTGAATATTAGAATTAGATCCTGCAAGGCTCTGCAGTGGAATTAAGCCTGAAGTTCTCTACCACCCAGAGACTGCCCACGTTCAAGTACAGCTCTTTTCCTTTTAGTATACAAGTTCAGGCTGAGGCAAATACAACATCAAACGTCTCTTCCCCCGCATTCATTACACTGTCAGCTACCACAGAAATTCTAAAGTGGCAGCTCTCCTGCAAGCCACAAAGAACCACTTACAAAGCCACAAAAATCACAAGATTGTTTCAACCTTGCTATTAAGATTTCATGAACACCTTTGAAGCTAAACCATTACAGAAAGTGTTTTAATCCAGCAGCAATGGCTCTCACACAATAGAAAAATAAGACACTCTGACATACAAACGGGTCACTATTCACTGTTATATCTTCAAATTAGAAAAAAATAAGTTTTACAAAATAATCAGAACTGTGTGTTCTCAGATTCTTTTTTTCTAAGATTCTAATCAGCTATAAGTGCTGAATCATTCAACACAACTATTAGGGAATATCTTCCCTAATTTTTCTGTTATCAGTGTCAATTTGACAGAATTCTGATGCATCAAACATCTTGATACTGTTTTATGGACTGACTGAGCTACAGCTTACAAATGTATATGCTTATACCTTCTTTCTAAGAAACAAATCTAACAATAATCAAAAATAGCTGCCATCTTGGGGCTGAAGAGATGGCTCACTTGCTGCTCTTGCAGGGTTTGGCTGGGTTCAGCTCCCAGCACCTATATAGTGGCCTGTAACTCCAGTTCAAGGGGATCTGATGCCCTCTTCTGGCCTCTGTGGGCACCGCATGCACGATGGTACATATATATATACATGTAAGCAAAACACTCCTTTTTAAAAACAGCTGATATCCTATTAGCCTGAGATAAATGTTATTTTAACTAGAAAAAAGACAGCTGAAAATAAAAACACACCAGTAATCAAAATTTGTTAATGCTTTGATAAAACAGTATTTCAAAAAATATTATCAGCCATTTCTTCTAAATAGGACAGATACTAAGATTTTTTTCCTTAGTGATAATTCTTTTGCTAGTTTTATAAAAGGAAAATAAATAGTATAACTATAGTTTAGTTCCCAATTTTTGCACTGTGTAATTTAGTCACTTTTAACTCCATATTCCTTTTTATACAGCTGCATGTCAAAAAATTTAAATATTTTTAGTTTGCTTAGTAAGAAAACAGATATTTGGCATACTAATAACTGACTTGAATTTTTTCTTAAAAAAATGTTAATAATAAGGAGCTGGAGAGATGGCTCAGCAGTTAAGAGCGCTGGCTGCTCTTGTAGTGGACATGGGTTCAGTTCCCAGTACCCACATGGTGGCTAACAACTGTCCGTAACTCCAGTTCCGGGGGATCCAAAACCCTCTTCTGACCTGTGTGGGCACTGCATGACATGGGTGCACTTACATACATGCAGACAATATACTCATACACATAAAATAAAAATAATAAATAAAACATTTTTTAAAAGAACTGTTAATAATTTAAAAAAGAGTTCCAAGAAATTTAATAGAATTTCCAGTGATGATTACTCCTGAAATATATGAAATTTAAAACATAATGATAAAAGATTAAAAACCAAAAAATCTAGACAATGTCGCCTATCAAGAAAGTTCAAAAAGTTGCAGTGACTGAAGCCTTAGTCACCCTCAGAATCGCTATCCCCTCTTCTCATGGGGACAGAGCCTCGCACTGAGGATAGCAGTGCATCTTCGATGGGCTTCCTAGGGTTCTCCTCCAGGTCTGTCTTGATTGCTCCAGATTCAGAGAGTTTCCACTCCAACTCTACATGACAAAGAAAAAGAAAAGCATATAAGGAACCACAATCCCCTTACTCCAAGTCCATCAAGCCAATTTCTTTTTTTTCTGAAGCAAAAAGAAAAGAAAAAAAATGACCACCAAAGTGCTATAAAGTACCAAAAAGAGAAAGGGGAAAAAAATTAGATTTTTGGGAAGAAAAACACAAAACACTTCAAATGTTCTCCAGATGATAACCAAATCAGATACTACATAAACGTAAACCTTCGTGTGCTGGATAGCTTTAGTGTCAACTTGACACACCTGGGTTAAGGGAGCCTCAACTGGGGAATTTCCTCTATTGGACTGGCCTGTGGCCATGTCTGTGAGGCATCTTCTTGATGAGTGATGTGGGAAGGCCCAGCCCACTGTGGGTGGTGCCACCCCTGGGCAGGTGGGCCTGTGTTGCATAAGAAAGCAGGCTGAGCAGGGGCCAGGGAGCAAGTCAGTAAGCAGCGTTCCTCCATGGCCTGTGCTCCACCTCCTGCTTCCAGGTTCCTGCCCTGAGTTCCTACCTTGGGCTCCCTGATGAACTGTGACCTGGGAGATGTAAGCCGAATAAACCCTTTCCTCCCCAAGTTGGTAGTGGTCAGAGTGTTTTGTCACAGCAATGAAGAAACAACTAAGACACTGTGAAAATTACAATAAAAGAATAAGCATGTCCTCTAACTGCTAGTGTCCTAGCTTTGAGAATTTACCAGGAAAAGAAAAGACATGAAGAATTTAGAGGAAAAAGAATCCCTACAGGTCTGCTGCCAACATGAACTCTAACTTCAGTTAATAAAAAGAAAATTTTCAGCTTCATGTTTGATATTCTACCCTCTAAAGTTAAAGCATACATGTAATCCAAGCAATAAAAAATAAAAACAGAAAGTAAAGACTCAGAACCCAGGAATCAATTTCTATATTCTGCTCTCTTCCCACCAGTAAAATTCCACACGGTGGGAGACCTGGTAAACAAAATCAAGTGATGCATTTTTCATCAAAGATTCCAAGCAGGATTACTTTCTTAATTGGATATTCCATTACAATCTGGCAGCCAATTTTACTTTTGTCATGTTATTTTAAAGTGCCTCAGGAAACAGGGTTTGAATGGTGGTAAACTGGGGCTGGGGGTAAATGAGACAGTCAAATGGTAGTAACTTTCCATTATAAGGCAAAAAAGCTCTGAGGAGCTAATGGACAACACGCTGGCCACAGGTAATAGGAGAGTAGATGTTAATACTCTCACCATAAAAAAAAAAAAAAAGAAGGCAACAATGTGGAGATGATAATTAGCTTGACTGACTGTGATCATGTCACACTATATTTCTACATCAAATCGTCTTGCTGTACACTTTAAACAAATATACCTTTTTGTCAATGACACCTCAATAATACTGGGGCAGGATGCTCCACAAAGATGATTATACACCTGAATATTTTTAGCTATAGGTATCTTGATAGAATGTTGTAGAAGTTTAAAAAAAGAAAGATTAACTGGGCATGGTGACGCACACCTTTAAATTTTGCACTCAGGAGGCAGAGGCAGGCAGATCTCTGTGAATTCCAGGCCAGTCAGGGCTACACAGTGAGACTCTGCCTCGAAAACAAACAAAATAGTTCCAATTCTTGATTAAAAAATATATATGTATGTGTTCTTACACATATATGTTTATATGTATACACACATATACATGTGTAAGTACATACTTAATACTAATTGTCACTCATAACCAAATTTTGGAGTTTGACTCTTAAGAGGAGATTAGCCTGTAAGAGGTTAGTGGCCTACTCATGAGACTACAGTGAGTCTGCACCTCCTCTCAGTCTCTCTCACATGTGCCATCCCCTCCTACTTCTCTGCATTGATACAAAAGAGCACAACATCTTTCCCAGAGGCCACGCAGACATTAGCACCATGCCTTAGACTTCCCAGCCTCCAAAATGGGGAGCCAAAATAAACATTTTTCTATAAAATACTCAGCTCAAGTATTTGTTATAGCAAGAGAAAACAGACTAAGACATAGTCCTACCTTGTGTATTAATTTGTACTATGGTATGTCTTTCAACACTGAAACACAACTGATGAAACTCAGGTATGTGCCTCTGTCCGTACTTTTCAAGGCTGAACATTTTAGGGGTCAAGTACAAAACCATGTTTTTTTAAGAAAATATTTTGTTATTACAATTACTTTTTATTTATGTGTATGAATGTAAGCATACTCATGTCATGCAATGCCTGCAGACGCCAGAAGAGGGCGTCAAATCCCCTAAAACTGGAGTTACAGATGGTTAGCTGCCATGTGGGTGCTGGGAAACTATCCTAGACCTTCTGCAAGAGCAACCAGTGCTCTTAACCAGTGAGCCATCTCTCCAGCCGCAAAACCATGTATTTTCTTAAAAAACAGTAACAACAAAAACATATTTAAAACACATATTTGAAGACAAGTAAAGACAAAGTTGGATATATTATATTCCAATAAAGGGATAAAGAATTTCATCTGACGGAGAGGCTGCTGGCCTCAGAGTCTCTTTCACACACCATACACATTTACTTTAATACCTCCATGGGTAATAGGCATAAAGGAATTAAAAAAAAAAATTCCTCCCAGAATTAAGAAGATTTAGGGGAACTTTAAAATTAAAAGGTATTGAGATTCACCTATTTCTACAGAGAAATATAAATACATACATATATAAGCAAGTATCACTAATAGGTTGACATAACTTAAAAGCACAGACTATGGTCTTAAAAGCTCCAACTAGGGGCTGGAGAGATGGCTCAGCAGTTAAGAACACTGGTTGTTCTTGCGGAAGAACTGGGTTCGAATCCCAGCACCCACATGGCAGCTAACAACTGTCCATAACTCCAGCCCCAGGGGATGCGACAGCCTCTTCTGACCTCCGCTGGCATTGCAGGGCATGGGTGCACTTACCTACATGCAGGCAATACACACATACACATAAAATAAAAAAATAAATTTGCCAGGCGTGGTGGCGCAAGTCTTTAATCCCAGCACTTGGGAGGCAGAGGCAGGCAGATCTCTGTGAGTTTGAGGCCAGCCTGGTCTACATAGTGAGTTCCAGGCCAGCTGGGGCTACAGGGAGACCCTGTCTCAAAAAGACCAAAAAGCTCCAACTAGAACCAAAATATTCAACTGTAGAAACAAAATATATTTGATGTTAATATGAAATACATGTAACTCCAGTGTGCCTTCCTCTGAGAATTACTGGAGCCCAGCTCACTGTTCCCAGTGACTTCATCTGGGATGAGAAATTCAATGTGTTCCTTCTTAATGACCAGTTATACAGAGGCAGAGGTGAACTGGAAAAACTATATGGCACCTATCCAAGGAAAGGGGTGCTCCCTCCCCACACCTCACCACACCCTCAAGTCACCAAGAGCCTCTTACCATCTCTCGTCAGGTTCATGCCGCTGAACACCAGAGGACCAATGAACTGAGCCTTGATGTCACCTTCCAGGTAAACAAATACTGTGGGCAGATTCCTATCAGGATAGTTGGGTATGCAGGTGGTTGAAATCGCTTTGATAAATTTCACGTCAGGAAACTTCCTGGCAAGGTCACTGAAGTGCTGGTTTATCAAGGCACAGAGGGGGATCCTGGAACACAGAAAGAGAAAGTAAGAGCAACTATGATCTCCGAGTACACAGAACAAAGCCCAGCAGCTTATCTATACCACACAAAACCCCAGAAGGGCTTTGAAGGTGGCTCGCAACATCAAGATGAAATTCTAAAAAGAATCATTCTAGGAGCTGCAGAGATGGCTCAACAGTTAAGAGCACTGGCCGCTCTTGCAGAGGACCCAGGTTTGGTTCTCAGCACCCACATGGCTGCTAACAACCATCTGTAACTCCAGTTCCAGGGACTATGACGCACTCTTCTGACCTCCATGGGCATTATATGACACAGGTGCACTTACATACATGCAGGCAATACTCATACACATAAAATAAAAAATAAGATTAAAAAAGAACCATTCTAGTATGTTCAGGAAAGTGAAGAACTTCAAATCTAAAGTCCAATTTAATTTAATAATAATTTTGAAGAAAAAACAGCTTTGATGTAAAAGACAACTGCTATATTTTTCTGTAAGGTTGAATTAGAAAACAGTAGTGAAGACTGAGGATAAGTGATGCATGAAACAGGTCAGAAAGCATTTCCTGCCTTACAGCAATTCCCAAACAAGTCCTGTGTACAGTTTAAGAACAAGCCTGAGCAGGCGATAAACACTGGAACCTACATCCCTGCTCAAAAGTGATCTCAAGATCACACTGGGCACCTGCAGGAGTGGTCGCTTACACAGAATAGCTTGGGAATTCCCTCGCTCCCTCTCTCCCTGACAGGGTCTTACAATGTCACTATGCACCCCAAGCTGGTCTTGAACTCATGATCCTCCTGCCTTAGCCTCGAGTGGTAGGATTGCTGACATGCACTGCCACATTTGGCAGAATTTTCAATAAAAGAAAATCAAGTCTTCATTCTATGTTTTTCACAAAGGCACATTATTCACAAATATTAAAAGTCTTAAGATGAAAACTGAGCCTTAAGGTTTGGCCAAATCAGCCACAAAAGCAAAACACACAAGTGCAAGAAAAATGCACAAAACCCAAAACCTTTTATGTAGTTTGAGCCTAATGCAGGCTGAAGACAGGAACTCAAATCAACATTTTATCGACCACATGAAAGATTGGCTCACCCTTGTTTGTAAAGGTGTAGGACTACCCATAGGCCCTCGCCAGCTTTGGTAACTTCTTGAACATAATCCTTTCCTGAGATTTCCAAAACTTCTCCAAATTTATTCTTCAGCTGGGATGCTTTCCACTCAGCCAGTCTTTGCTGCCTGCACAACAGAAAGAAAACTCTTAAATACAAATGTGTACACATGCACAAACCCACGCATGCATCTTTCAGTAGGAAACCCTTTTAATAGTCCAGGCTTATTTATTTTCCTTGTAGCAAAAGTCTAAGATGAGTTCATTGAAATTTGTAGTATCATTGCTTAACTGAAGTCACTTCCAAACGTTAGCTCTGGCAGAAAACTGTTTCAAAGCACACATTTTCTTACCACACAATACACCACACTGTCTCTCTGGATGGCACTCACCTGTACATTTCAATAGCCCGTTCATCCTCCTCATTGAATTCATCTTCATTATCCTCCAGTTCTTCCAAAGTCATTTCTTCATAAGTTTTCACTGAATTTAGTTATGTTGGCAAAAGCAAAAAAATTATAAAGATGAATGAGCACACAAACATCTCAGTGTTTTGTCTTTTCTCCTATACATACACACACAACCTTGAAGATCCCAGCCCACCTAGATGAAAATTAAGGTATTTCACTAGTAAGCCAGAAGCTGAGGGTACTTTAAAAACCAACTTACTGCAATATTACTGCCTTATGACTTTAAGGGCACAAATGAGAAGTTCCCCAGACAAGAGTCATGTCTGCCTGAAGCTGCCTGCTCTGACTGTCAAGTACATTCTCGTGGGCTGGGTGTCCCAACAGCTCTACTATCATCCAAGCAAACAGAGAGGATACTGGGTCCTTCCCAAATACACCCTTCCTACAAGTGATTATCATGTCCTTCTTGGTCATTCCTTGGAAAGAGCAGACAGCTCTACCTTTTTTTGTAGTCAACTGCTATGAAACTCTCCACTGCTCTCTCCCAGCCACAGCGGCCTCCTCATGGATTTTCTAAGATGCCAGACCTGCTTTCCACTTCTTGCAGGAGCTCGCCTCCCTTCACCTCCTTCAGACCTATTCAAATGCCATCTTCCTGGTGAGGCCCTCTCTGCACAATTGAGAATGGCACCTACTCCATCTCCAACCTTCCTAGCCCTTTCCCAGTCTTATTCCCTTACTATTTCCACTAAAATATAAATTTCACAAAGAGAGAATTTTGTCTGGCCTGTGTTTCACTAAATCCCTATTACTCAGAACAAGTGACACACAGAAATCACATTAACATGCACTGGATACATTCTATTAAATCCTCCTCTAAATGACCTTTCACTTATAAAAAGGGAACAAAAGAACTAGATGTTGGAAGTTCACAGCCCAAAGGCAATTATTTACAACTATGATTCCTGGGCCTCATACACAGTCTCATTAGGCAGGGATCTGGCATATCTGTACCAACAGTAAGGGAATCAGATGAGGTAGTAAGGCTTCCTCAAATTAGGCTATTTTCATCAATAGTCCTAGCTATCCACAAGATTAATAAAGTGCAATCTCAAAAGAACACGAACACTAAAACCTCAACAAATTTCTACAACATTGTCCAATGTAAACCTCAGACCAGAAAGTCATGAGCTCATGTGATACAGACAAGGACAGGGGCTGCAGGGTGCCTCTGAGTCCCCCTACCTTCATAGCTTGCTCCCTGCTGTGACACACGCCTAGCCACCACTCACAGTGGGGAAGCCTCCAGCTCTGTCTCCTGGATCTTGCTCAGGAGATTCTTCTACTATGGCAATTGGTGTCTCAGCAAGTTGTTTCCAAACCCAGACACCGAACAAAGAAAGTAAGCAAGCTCACCCACTGACTGCTGTAGGATTCGCTGCTCCTCCTTTTCCAGTTCTTCCTTTTCCAATTCTTTCAGGCTTTCCTTTGGGGGCAGGATGCCCTTTTTGCGTAAGATGTCATTCCACTCTGTGTCTGCATTGGGGTCCTGGGACAGGAAGGACAGGCATAATGAGGGCAAAGACCAGGACAGAAGGCACCACGTCGGGCAGAGTGAAAGCTGGGAAAGGGAGCAGGACGGGAGTATTCACACTAAATTACTCTGTGGCCTATTTCTGAGACTATGAAAAGACTTGCTTCCCCCACTACCATCTTCACGTGGAGCTAGTCTTGGAGCAAAAATCAAGATCTGATGGGCAGTTCAACAACAAAACAAAAACCTAGCTTCTGATCGGTATTTTTATTCATGACATAAACAAATGTTATTAAAAACTTTAACAAGCCAGACTTGCCTTGATTAATATATCTCTTAACCCTCAGCAGAGAAGTTTCCTTCTACAGCAGATGGTGATTGTGCTGGATAGCTTTAGTGTCAACTTGATATACCTGGGTTGAGGGAGCCTCAATTGGGAAACTGCCTTCATTGGGCTGGCCTGTGGCCATGTCCATGGAGCACCTTCTTGATTGTTGAGTGATGAAGGAGGGCCCACAGGGGCCAGGGGAACAAGCCAGTAAGCAGCATTCCTCCATGGCCTGTGCTCCAGCTCCTGCCTCCAAGTTCCTGCCCTGAGTTCCTACCTTGGGCTCCCAGATGAACTGTGACCCGGGAGATGTAAGCTAAATAAACCCTTTCCTCCCCACGTTGGTACTGGTGAGTGGAGAAACAAACTAGGACAGTGATTAACAGAGAACTACAAGTAGCCAATGTGCAGAGACTAAGAGGCTGCAGAGTGCTTATCCCTGAATAGGACACCTATATCAAATGTCTACCTCCCAAGGCCCGGGGATCATTGTGGAAGAGGGGGTGGAAAGACTGTCAGAGTCAGAGGAAACAGACATCCACAAGGAAACAGTTTTCCAGGCAGCTCAACAATGACCCACAGGAGTGCACAGCAATGGTAACAGCATTTACAAATACCACATAAGCTCAAGCCAGACAAAATCCCAACCACAGATGGCAGGGAAGTAAGAAACCCCAACCCCATCTGAGGAACTACTGGCAACCAATCACTGTTGGGAAGGGGAGATTCAGTCTCATTTAAGGGGGAGACGCTTAGTAGGCTGACTAGCCTCCAGTGGATGAACCCACACCAAAGGGCATTTGGCGACACAAACCTGACTCTATAGACCTTTAAAAGAACAGAAATTTGGTGGGGGATTAGAAAGGGCGCACCGATATGGGAGGGGAATCTAAGTATGATCAAAATACATTGTATGAAATTCTCAAAAACTCAAAAAGTAAAAACTTCCACAAATGTTATTTAAAAACTTTTAACAAATTTCTCTGACATTATCAAAAATGAAGTAGTGAGAAAGTCAAGTGCTTTTTAACACTGACAAGGACTGTGGGGCTGGGCGTGGTGGCGTACACCTTTAATTCCAGCAGTCGGGAAGCAGAGGCAGGTGGATCTCTGACTTCAAGGCCAGCCTGGTCGACATAGCAAGTTCCAGGCCAGCTGGAGCTACAGAGAAACCCTGTCTCAAAACAAACAACAAAAAACAAAAAAACAAAACAAAAAAACCAAGTGTAGGTGAGGTATTCTGAAAGAACAAACTGACCAGGAAAAAATGTGTACAAAGTGGTTTTAAATCCAGCTGCCCAATTTATACTGGTATGCATGGTTTGGCAGAAACACTGCTAATGGGGCTGAGAACATGGTCCTGAACATGACCTCAAGGAAAAGACAACCCAACAATGGGCAACTCTAGCCCCATCTCTGTGTCACATTCTTGCCCATATAGAGCACAAGAAAAAGGAAGCTGCCTTGGAGATTCCACTTCACCATTTAGAAACATCAGGCTTGAGGGTGTAGACCACCTCCTCCAATCGCCAAGGCCTGTCTCCCAAGCTGAGCACACCCCATCTGCATTCCCCAGCTACCATCCAGAATCCTATTCAGGATTTTGGAGCACAGGGAGATGAAGGGCTGGGTCTTTGGACAGTGACAAAATGTGGTGGTCAAAGATTTTTGCACTTAAAGGCTATTTCTATGGAATTTTCTAACACTGCCTTTGGGCTTTTGTTAGATTCTGTTAGCAAATTCCAGCTACAATCAACAGAAACCCTTACTTAGACTGTTCTGATTTTATTCATTTTGGAAATTAACACTAACTGAGGGTCAGGGCTCAGCTCTGGAAGCCAGGAAGCAAAGAAAAGGGGGCACCCTAACCAGGAAAGCGTTAAGCCTCACTCAGCTCTAGGAACTCAAAGATTTCGGGGGCACTAGTTTACACGGTGCTGGGGGACCCCTCGCTGTAAGCTTCAGCTCCCTTGTATGATGGGCCCATCACACACCTGCAGAGGTGCTTACTCAGGAAGTTAACACGAAACAACTGTGACACCCGAGGTCTGGCAAGACCTTCATTGGCTCAGTTGGAGACCGACACCCCCCCCACCCGCAAAAAAAGGGCAAAGATTTGCTGGGCGGGCTGCATCCAAGCCGGCGCACCCAGCCCACTGTCCGGGTGAGAACGCACCCCTACCGCACTGCGCTTGCGCGTGGCCTCCTCCTGCGCGGCCTCCCTCCAGCCTGCGGAGCCGGAGTCATTCTCGCAGACCTGGCGCCGGAACTGGCGCGAGCCCAGCAGGGCAAACGACAGCGGCCCGCACCCCACCACGCTCACCTGCATCTTGCCTCCAGTCGCTCAGGACAGCCAGGACCGAGCGCGGACACGGTCGGCTCGGCTCCACGCAAGCGCGCAAGCGCGGCCCCACCTCGCCGCCCCCACGGCCCTTCGCCCCGCCCCCAGGTGCGAACTAGGCGGAGCCAGCGGAAGCCGGGGCTCTGAGTCTGCGCGGTGGCCTCAGGGAACAGGCGCGAAAGCTGTGCGCATGCGCGAGGCGGGATGTGCCTCGGGTGGGTGGGACCAGCAGGGTTGATGTCACCCGAGGCTGATCCTGTACACTGCCTTATTAGGGCAGGTCTCCGGCCCCGAGTTCATGGGGCTGGGCAGAGGAGGTACCCTGGGTACGTGTTCTAAACCTGGCTTTGTCGACTAATAAGTCAGAAATGAATTGTCTGTTAGTGGCCCCATGCTACGACTGAAAATGATACAGGTCACCTGGAATTCATCCACCATCATTTCAGTGTTGGACATGGCAAATTACTCATAAAGCTTATTTATGGAGCCTAGAACAGGCTTCCAGACAGGCTGAGAATGCAAGCTCAGTGATGGAAAATTTGCCTAGCGTGGGGTGTCCCAATGGTGAAAGTCGTTTTATCTTACTGAACACCAAGAGACACATATATGTCAATCAGTAAAAATGTAGGCAGCTAGGTTCCAGGCTTGTGCCTATGCCCCACTCCAAATAGAGTTGAGATCAATATTCCCTGGTATTGAAGGAAACATCCTACACACCTGGGCCAATTTACTGTGTCCTGGCAGTGAAGCAAAGGCTGGTAATTGATAATTCCCCAAACACACTGCAAGGCTCACAACCTTGGCTTTGAAATCACCTAAGCTTCTTCTGAAACTGTAGCTAAAGGGTGTGTTACCTTACTCTTACAATCCTAATGCTCAGGAGGCTGGGGCTGGAGGATCACTGAGAATGCAAGAGTAGAGAGTGAGACCCTGTATATAAACTATGGAAACCTGCAGATACCCTGGGGCGTAATTTCGAGACTGTTAAGGTTCAGATAACCCTGTCCCTCACCAAAAGGATCCCAAGGACTTCTGTTCCTGAGAAAAGGGAACCTAGCTGATAAGCCTTCTCTTGGTCTTTGAAGTCAAGAGAAGCGGACTTTTCTCCACTGTTCGACCAACACAGCAGGCTTCCCCTTTGATCTCTAAAGAGAACAGGTTTTAACAGTTCTGTTCCGCCCTGACTTTAAAAAAAATACATCTTCCCCCCTTCTACAGGAAGCAGAAGCCTCCCTTTTTAAAAGACCCCAGCTCAAGACCCAGGCAGACATTTTCCCTGCCCGGAAGGGACTCATGTGTTCCTTTGCTAATAAATCTATTTAGATGGAGTTTTATCTGTGTCCTGGTGCTTCTTCCTGATCAACCCTATTCGTCATAGGGCAACTTTTTACCTATCAGATCGTGCCAAAACCCGTTCTTACTTCAAGGGACCCGCCTGGACTTCTCCAATGCCACTAACTTGGCTCTCAGGTACACTTCTTTTCTCTCCCCTCCTCTCCCCAGCCCTCTGCTTTGCTTTCACCTCTTTCTGGCTCTCCTCACTGGGGAAACTCTGCCTTGCCTACTTCTTTTGATCTCCTTTCCCGTTGATTTTCACCACTCCCAGACAGCACTGTGGTCTCTGTGATGGACCTGCCTCATCCTCCATTCACTCATTCTCCACCAACTTTTTACCTATCAGAGACGACTTAAATCCCTGGAGCTGGTGCCTTGGAACTGATATTTTCTTACATTTCCAGATGATGATAATGGGCCCAACCACTGATGTCAAGAAAATCACTAGTCCTTGAGAGTAAGAAGCTTTGATTTAGTAATTGATAGGGATCCTAAAATTTTACCTAACTCCATCCAAACCAAAGTGTAGGCCTTTTAAAGTGTTTATTAATTTATCCAGTAGTAAAGTGTTGTGAATGAATATTCCCTGTTTTCACTACGAAAATCAGGATTGGACTAGTTGGAGAGTGGCTCTGATCTTATGCTTCCCTCTCCATCCTGCACAGCCATAAAGTGGATGTTGTTTTGCTCCTTCCTCATCCCCAGTTGGATCAACTGAATAATTCATCCCAGATATTTAGAAGTAATGCTTTCAATTTCTTTTTACTGAATGTGTATATCAGAACAATTTCCTGCTAATTTGATATTTTGATGTTTTAATACAAACATCCAGGGACAAATTTTTCAATTGAATTCACATGAGAAACAAATTGGTCTTTTAACTTAATTTTGTGTGTATGAGTGCTATGCCTGCATGTGTATAAGTGCACCTGTGTTGTGCAGTGCCAACGGAGAACAGAAGAGGTTGTAGGATCCCCTGGAACTGGAGTTATGGACAGTTGTTAGCCACCATGTAGGTACTGGAATTCAAACCCAGGTCTTCTGCAAGCATAAACAGTGCTCTTAACTGCTGAGCCATCTCTCCAGCCCTAATCCTTTAATTTTAAACACCCTGGGACTATATAGTGAGTTCTTGGACAGTCGGGGCTACTGTATGAGAGTCTGTCTCAAAAACCAGCAACAATAAAAACTTCAAACTAATAAAAATTGAAACCTACAAATTATTGTCTGAGATTAGCCAAGTGGATTCCAAAGTTTGTATGACAAAATAACAATCAAGGGTACCATAAGAAAGGAGCTACCCCCACCAGATATTATAACAATGTGGTATTGATACATGAATAGACAGTGAAATCAGAGGTGCAGCACAGGAGGTTAAGAATAAGTCCACAAATGGAGTCAAGTACATAGAAACATTGCTGTATGTTGTTGACAGACTCTCAGTTGACTGAGAAGACATATAGATCTTCAATGAAGGGTGTTGGGAAAACTGAACAACCACATGAAAGTAGATAAAATTTAATACTTCATAGTATATAGTAGAATATAAAGAACAAAAAATACTAGAAGAAAACATGAACTAATTTAATAACTTTCTTTTTAGACAGGATTTTTACTATACTGGCTTTGTTGCCTAGGCTGGCTTCATACTTATGATTCTCCTTCTTTAGCCTCCAGAGTAGCTAGGACTACAGGCATGTGGCACTGTGCCTGGCATAATTTTATAAATTAGAAATGGGAAAAACACTTCACAACTATTTCTCAAAATCCAAAATAAATCAAAATGGAAAAATAATAGATTCAAGTACTTTTGGAAGGGACTAATGTAAGAACAGTGCTTTTAATATAAAATAAAAAGTTAAGTAAAAATATATTTATGTGTATATTCACATTTGTTTAATTTAGCAAGTAGAAGTCCAGGAGGAAGAAAACAGAAATTAACTGTTAGCTTTAGAGAGGGGTGAGATCGTGGAACAGGGATAAGAATGAGACTCCTGCAACAAACTTTTATTTAAGAGCCAGTAAAATTTTGTACAGTCTGACACACATTCAACTGCAGGAACCTGCTTTAAGAAAAGAATACAAGCTGGGCATGGTAGCATATGCCTTTAATAGCAACACTCAGGAGGCAGAAGCAGGCAAATCTCTGTGAGTTTGAGGCCAGCATGGTCTACATAGCAAGTGTCGGGCCAGCCAGGGCTACATCATGAGGCCCTGTTTCAAAAAATAAATAAATAAAACAAAATAATAAAAAATTATGAGTATAAGTCATGAAAGTAAATCTTCATTTAGATTGACAAAAAGAAATAATTACGAACTATCAATTCATAAAAGTTAACAAATAACACAAACCCCCCAGAAAGTATCATATTTTTATTAACTTTCTGACATTCATAAGATTCCTTAAAATAACTTCTAGCTTGGCAATTTAAGCCCTATTTCTTCTGTAAGTGCTCAAATGCTTGGTTCTGTGGTCATTGGCAGTCAATTTATTTTATTTCAATCTTATCTGCCATATGAACTCTTACATCGCACTTCACCCCATTATATTTAATTATAAAATCGCTAATAAAGTGTTAAAGGGGCTGCAGGGTTCAAAAAGACTATGCTAAAGGTGAAGTCAGAGACTGGATACAGCTATAAGGAACAGTTTCTATGGGAACAAGGAAGAAGTTTTATGATTCACAGCACAGAGATGTTCACAGCCCAGAGTTGTCAAATGCAGGCCAGGTAGCAGGCTATTTTGAGTGTCATGTTGAAATGGGTCCTGTGTCACAAGCAGGAAAGCCTTTGCTCTAGCTGTATCCCAGGTACAGAAGTCCTATACAGGGAATTTTCCTGGATGGGGGCTCATGCAAAGTGACTGGGTGATAGATCAGTGTGCCTGCCACATCTGTCTTGGGGGTGACTTCTTTTATAGTACTGGTTAAGGTGTTATACCCAATGTGATTGAAAAACACACAGGTTTGATTAAAAGAAGGAACAAAATGCTGTTTTATAAAACAGAACCACCGAAGGCAAGGCACGACCTGAAAACTGTTTTATACAAAATGGAGTTAGAGCAGAGCACAGCCTGATCTTCACAAAGGTCCTCTGGAGGCAGCCCTGCCAGCTCTCTATTACCATGGTTCTAGTACAGCTCCAACTTTGCATTCTAGCCACATTGCTCATCTTTCTTGGGTTCTTCCCTTGTGCAATCTCTGTTTTTGCTTAGGTTCCCTCTGTGCTGAGAGGCTCCCTAAACATGCTGCCACTTCAGCTCCAGGATGCAATAATCTCTTTGTTGATATCTTTTCACGCAGTAGTTCTTTACACTACAAGACCTCATGCAACCCAGATAACAAGCGCTATGCATGCTCTATCATTCTTAAATAAAGTTTGCAAGATTCAAGCACATCAATATTAGATAATAAACATAGTTGTCACTGGAGTTTTTAGTGTTGAGACCTTGACCCTGGCAGTCCTAAAAAGCTAGACTCGGCCACCTGCCCTCAGTAGGCCAATTAAAGATTAAAATGCAGAAAAAGGACATTTATTAATGAAGTATTCATAACTAAGCAGTAGTGGTCAAGGTGTAGTCCTACCCGTCACTGACCATCCTGTCTCACCTCTCCTCTCTCCTGCAAGGTAGTCTGACAAGTTGTCAGAACTGCGTGAAATATCTTCCTGGAAGAGAAAAGGTGTCTCTTGCTACCTCTGGGGCCCCAATCTTTTCTTTCCCTTGGCATGAGACTCCTGGAGAAAACCCTTGGAATCCTAATTCCTTGGAATTCACTGCTTCAGC